CCAACCAGTCCATCCTCCAGGAAATAAAGCCCAACTGCTCACTGGAGGGAAAGATACTAGAGACAAAGTTGAAGTACTTTGGCCACATCATGAGGAGACAGGAAAGCCTAGAGAAGACAATTATGCTGGGGAAAGTGGAAGGCAAAAGGAAGAGGGGCCGACCAAGGGCAAGATGGATGGATGGCATCCTTGAAGTGACTGGACTGACCTTGAGGGAGCTGGGGGTGGTAACGGCCGACAGGGAGCTCTGGCGTGGGCTGGTCCATGAGGTTACGAGGAGTCGGAGACAACTGAACAAATGAACAACAACAAGACAAACCAACACTACCCCATTTCACTTTAGACACTAACTTAACTGAAGTATTATCAGTTAAAAATGGTATGGAGTTACATCAGCTCCTTTCTTCCCTCTTAGTTGAGAGTTTGTACCTCAACTTCATCCGCTGTGCACCACGATAAGATCCATCTACATAGCTGTATAATGCAGTTAAACTGACTAATAGTCAGTATAGACCCATACAATGCAGTTGAATACAGTTAAACTGCATTATATGAGTCTACACTGACTGTATAAGGCAATTTCAAACTGCCTTATATGGCAGTGTAGATGGAGCCATAGTTTCTTAGATAAGCATATTAGGGTGGCAAATGAAAAAGGGCCCCTGTACCTTTAATAGCTTCATAGAAGAGAGAATTTCAGTGGGTGGAACCTGAAGGTATGATGCACCTAGGCTTAACTGCAGAAAGAGTATCGCCTGTAAAATTCAGGCGGCACTTTTTCCTTGACATACCATGAAAGCCTGCATAACAATTTCACAACTCTATTGATGACTACTAAGCAAATCATGGCATGACACTTAAAATAAAGCATTATACTCACATTTTTCTCCTGCACATAATCTGTAGTTATTGATCTACAAACCAATCAACTATTTTACTTCTATGCTTTTCTGTCAACTGCTAATAGTACATTAAAACTTGTGATATATGCTGTAGTTTATGTTAAGCTTTTACAAACTCTGCCAGAAGCCTGAGATTACCGGCAATGCAGACGTTTCCATTCATCATTCACCTTGCTACAAGCATTTCTACAACCTAAAGTAACCACTGTTTTACAGAAAGACAATCTCTTACACAAGAAGTGATAGAGTGCTACATTGCCTCTTGTTTTAATTAAATATAGTAAAGGTAAAAGTTTTCCCCTGATATTAAGTCTAGTCGTGTCAGTTTCTGTCCATTTCTAAGCCAAAGAGCTGATGTTGTCTGTAGATGCCTCCAAGGCCAGCATAACTGCATGGAGCACCATTACCTTTCTGCTGAAGCGGTACCTATTGTTCTACTCACATTTGCTTTTTTTTTAACTGCTAGGTTGACAGAAGCTGGGGCTAACAGTGGAAGCTCACCCCACTCCTCAAATTCAAACTGCCAACTTTTTGGTCAGCGTGTTCAGCAGCTCAGCAGTTTAACTCACTGCACCACTGGGGGCTTTTACGAAATATACCTGATCATTAAGTATACTATAACATTCACCTTTATGTTTGCAAAGCCAAGAGCTTTCCAATACAGTTTCAGTCAAATTTCATAATTCTAGGAGGCTTAACATTTTACCATATAAATTCACAGCAGCCTGAATATGTCACACAAAACTCGCTTTCAGAGAGTGCAATTTTAATGGTTGTTGGTTAAAGCAACGTTTGGCAGCTCCATGTGCATACTGGGAACCCGATCTGAATGCCAAGTGAAACAGAATTCAACATTACCTAATGTAAACGAAAAATTATAGCCATCTACATAGCATAATTTCTCATTTTCTCTTTTTAACAAGTTAATTTACATAAAACACACAAATTAACTTGCAGCAATCTCATAATGCATGTTTTTATTCTTACACAAATAGTCTGAAGTTTTTAAGCAATATAAATGTATCATGCATGCGCAGGGACAAATTGACCTAATAGATGAGAACAGTTTGCACTGCTGCATCATTAAGCTGCAAACTAAGAAAGATATACTATAACAGACACTAATGATTACTTTAAAGAAATTACTGCAGCCTATTGATCACAAACCCCTTTATAAATAAAAGTCTAAAAAGCAGGTTTTCAAATACGCACTTCCATTTATCCTGATTAAAATGGGCCCCACGGAACTATTACTCCATACCAAGGCCATAATTAGGCTTCATATTTCTCTTGCATATGAAATGTTGGTTTGGAGAAGGAAAGTAAATATATGTACAATATATATGTATTTTTCAAACTAAAGATACATGAAATAGAAATGTTATGAGATAAGATTTTCTGTGAGATCAAATATTCAAAGGTGAATGTTTTTTATGAGGGGAAAACCACAGGTCCAGTTATATAGACAAAATCGAAAACCTCAAAATACTTACTGTGTAATAGCATTTCTTGATACCATGAAGAAAACTGCTATATGGAAAGACCTAACAACAACAACAACAACAACAACAACTTTATTTTTATATCCCACCAACCATCTCCCCTAGGAGATAGTAAAAATGTGCAAAGCATATATGGAATGAGTAAAAATGTGCGAAGCATTTATGGAAATATGACTATTTCTATTAATAGTTCCCAACCCGTGGGCTGTGGCCCACTGGTGGGCTGCAAAACCTAAAGTAAGGTCTGTGGCCGGGGGTGCATGCTGCCATTGGAGGAGAGAGAGAGAAGGAAGGAAGGAAGGAAGCTATCGCAGTCGCCCTTGTCCTCTCGTGGCTTCCCTGGCACGGTTGGAAAAGAGCAAACAAGAGAAGGAGAGTGAGAGAAGGAAGGCAGGAAGGCAGGAAGGCAGGAAGGCAGGAAGGCAGGCAGGCAGGCAGGCAGGCAGGCAGGCAGGCAGGCAGGCAGGCAGGCAGGCAGGAAGGAAGGAAGGAAGGAAGGAAGGAAGGAAGGAAGGAAGGAAGGAAGGAAGGAAGGAAGGGCCATTGTCCTCATCTTCTCGTGGCTTCCCCAGTTCTGTTGGAGGAGATTGAGAGAGAGGAGGAGAGGGAGAGAAGGAAGGAAGAAGGGCAGTTGCCCTCGCCCTCTCATGGCCTCCCTGATGTCATTGGAGGAGAGAAAGAGGAGGAGAGGGAAATAAAGGAAGGAAATAGGCCAGCGCTGTTGCTCTTACCCTCTTGCAGCTTCCCCGACATCTTTGGAGGACAGTGTGAGAGAGAAGGAGAGTCTCCCAAAGTTGTTGTTAGCTCTCATTGCCACACACCAATTGTAATGGGAAAGCAGCCCTTTGTAAAACCCTGTTTCATCCCCCACAGTAGTAGTAGTAATAGTGGTTGTTGTTGTTATTATTATTATCTCCCATTGCCACGCATCAGTTGTAATGGGAAGACAGCCCTTTGCAAAAACCCTGTTTAGTCCTGCAAAGTTGTTGTTGCTGCTGCTGTTGTTGCTGTTAGTTCCCATTGCCAAACAAAAGAACTGTAATGGGAAAGCAGCCCTTTGAAATACCCCAATAAGTCCCCCAAAGTCGTTGTTGGTTAAAACCAGTAGGGACAATTGCTTGTGTCTCGCATTCTGAGTTTTGTATTTTTTTTTTCAAGTTCAGCCCCCTCTTTCTTTCTTTTTTTAACACGAGCAATGACAGAATCCATGGATAGCCCAATCAAAGATTCGGTTTGGTTATTTGGGTGCTGACTCAGAAAATTGCATTGGATAGACCACATCAGCTCTAGATTATTAAATATGGTTTTCTGAGGGTGAGCAGATGGTGATTATTGGATGATGTATGTTCTGTATCAGAAACTAGAGCTGATGTGGTCTATCCAATGCAATTTTCTGAGCGGTCTATCCAATGCAATTTTCTGAATCTAAAGGTCCCTGGTCAAAAAATGGTTGGGAAGAACTGATCTATACTGTTCTTGTGTGCCTTCAAGTCATTTCCAGTGTATGGCAATCCTAAAGCAAACCTATCATGGGATCTTCTTGGAAAGATTTGTTCAGAGAGGGTTTGGTTCTTTTTATTTTGTGTGTTTGCCTTCCTAAGGCTAAGGGAATATGACTTGCCCAAGGTCAGTGGGGTTTTGTTTTTGTTTTGTTTTTTTGCCAGAGGGAGAATTCATATTGTAGTCTATCCCTCAAACCATCCCCCCATGCTGACTCTCACTATTTACATAATTAATTGTAATTAGAGCCTTTCATTCAAACAAGTTTACTGATCTCTCACCATAGGGCCAATAAGGGAAATCTGGGGCTGAGAATATATGACTCACCAAAGGTCCCAATGGGGAATCTTGTAAAAAAACAAATGTGTCTGAATAGTGAATTCTTTTGTCAGAATTTGGAAAGTGGCATTTTAGAACTACAATTCCCAGGATTTCTGAGTCAGTTCTCCCAGTTGCTCTTCTGGCTAGAAAAATTCTGGGAACTGAAATCTGAAAAGGCAATTTATCCAAACTCTGGAATATTTAAACTTTTAATGTACAAACACAACCAATAAGATTTCTCACTTAAAATACCCCCTACCAAACTCACAATTAAATTAAAATTAATTGTGCAGTAAAAACTATTTCTAAAAATGTACCTTCTTTTACATTTGTTGATAAGTGAAAACTGATATATAACATTGTTTTCTTGTTGGGAATACTTTAAACAGCATATTCAGGATAAACTGTCCCAGAAAGGCCTTACAGAGATCTGAAATTCCATCTTTACATAATAACAATAGAAATTGAAATGTAGATCCTTTCAACTATGTAACAGAAGTCTACCAGAGTATCTGAACTGACATCTTTTATACATCAAATTAGGGCACCATTTGGCCTCAAGTCATTTCTGGTGCAGCCAATCAAACATTGCTGATGCTACTGAAGAATGTCTCACATTTTATAAAACAGCTATAAAGACAAATGGAAAACAACATTTGGGCTAATTCAAACAATAGCATCTATAAAACCATGCCAACAAGGCAAAAATAAACAAACCCTAAATGTGAAGGAAAGGCACAACACATAGGGAAAAGAATGATATAAAATTAATTACCTTTGTCTTATTTTTCATTAGAAAGAGTAAATTTCCTTTCAGACGACACCATGTCTCCCTTGGCTCTGCATGCAGAAGAAAAGAAGCATTAATGTATTGCTTAAACAAAATAACAATAAAATAGTAATACGCTTTGCCTTTCATCTACTGGTTCTTCCAGAATCAATGTAGTTGGTAGATGCCGGGTAGTGGGGGATCATTAATGAAAAGTCAGCTTCACTTGGCAGCTGATGTATAACATGCTGCTAAATGCCAGATAAACTTTCCGGAAGGTTGTCGTTATCCTGTAGCTGACAAAATTGGAGTTTGATGCAGGTACTCCACTAGGTTTTCTTTCTTTTCATTTTGCAAAGGGAAATTTGAGACAAATGCAGCTTCAACAGGTAAACAAAAATTTCCTTGGAAAATGACAATGTTTATTGTTGCATCAGATTATAGTTCTATTGTAAATGCACACAAGAAAACATGCACGCAATACTGACTGCTGGTTGGGTTATCTTTACCACTTCGGAAATAGCTTGAACGCAAATATGGTATGGGGTGCACTGCATGATAAAGTGGGTGACTACTGTTGTATTAACACAGTTTGTTTTAAAAAAAACACACAGCATGCCACACACAAGATTTATTAAAACTGATTTTCCATGTATTATTATGTTCAGTATAATTTTTTTTTAGAAGAAAGAAAAGCCCACTAATCGAACAAAACTCAATTGCACTATATGAAGTGTATTTAATTTCTCAAGAGGGAAAGGTAATTTGCAGAAATCTGTGCTTCGTGGCTGCAAATATTCTACAGCGCTGTAGAAACACAAGTCACATCCAGAATATTCTGCTTTCATATAAGTAAATAAAATAAATCTCTCAAATTTTCATATGCTTCCTGGAGGCAAGAATTTAGGAAGTACAGAGGTTCTCTCTACAAAATAAACAAAATACTCCCAAATGCATTAGGGATGACTTATTACATTTTTAACTGAAATGATATGTACCATCCAAAGATGATCTCCCCAGTCCAGGGTCTAAAACTAGCATCTTTAACTGTATGACAGTACTCTGTATCCTGTTGATAAGGATAGTTCCAGTTTACCAGTCACTGTATCCTGTAAACAACTGTGCCAATCTCTCCCCCCCCCCCCCCGCCTCTCTCTCTCTCTATGAATATATATATTCTTTTTGAGGATGCCATTTTAAAATATGCTAGTTTGAATTGTCAGCCTACCACACTAGCCCTACAGAAACTATTGGGCTCCAGTTCACAGTAGCCTTAGTCAGGTGGTCAATAGTTAGGGATGATGGGAATTCACCACCACCATCCAGAGAGCCATAGGTTCCTTCTTTCTACAATGTTAGTTTTCTCAACCTGCTTTCTAGAAGTTAAAGCTTTGATTATGGGAAGGAGTGGATCTTCTCTCTACTGCAGGGGTGTAAAACTTATTTTCATTGCAGGACACATCAGCATCATGGTTTCAATAGCCTTTGTATCCATGGAGGGTCAACTATTATTATTATTATTATTATTATTAACTTTATTTGTACCCCGCTAGCATCTCCCGAAGGACTCGATGCGGCTTACACAGGCCGAAGCCACAGAACACAATATAATAGAAACAGACATCACAAAAGCAAAACAAATCAAACAATAGCAAAATAACAACAATAGCAGTACATCAAGACCTTATTAAAACTGGTTCGGCCGGCGCACTGGGTACAAGGGATTAAAAGTGCTGAAATGGCAGGAGGCACGAAGGATTTCAAGTGCGGTGTGCAGAACGATTTGTTATGCTATAATTATAACTATAATCTTTTTAGATAAATGATAAATGATAACTATAAATTATAACTATAATCTTTTTAGATAAATGATCTGCTTTCTTTAGTGTCTACCTGTCAGGACTATGGAGCAAGAGGAGGATGAGAAGGAGGGGGTTTGTCTCTCAGCAGCTTAGTCGAAGCCCATGAGTGAGGAACAGCTGGACATGCCTGAAAATGATACTGCTGTGCAGGAGCTGGACCTAACAACAGAGTTTGAATAGGATGAAGCCCTTCCAGAGGAAGGCCAGAACTTAAAGCTCACCACCTGGTTACAGCTGAGAGTGGACACAATTCAGCTATGCTGGTCAAAGAGATTGGCTCAACAGAGAAAAGACCAGCAGTAGGTGTGCATAGAGGAAGCATAAAAGAAGGGGTGGGGAACAGGACATTGCTGAAAGTGATAGCTGTGTTGGATATTTCAGCTGGTGACTTTGACCCTTGGACCTTGTATTGCGGATCATAGATTTTGGTGAGCTGTTGGTGTGGTTTGATCCTCAGACTGGATTCTGTTAAGGATACTTCTGTGTTGAATGTGAACTGCCTTGCCTCTGCTTGCCAAGTTTTGGATGCAGCATCTTGACACTACCAGTTTGCATTTGCATTCATAGATGTCATTAAACAACAATTCCCATCAGCATATTGTGGAAATAACAGGTCTTTGTGTTGACCTGTTGGCAAGTGTGATGAATCCAACCTTTTGCCAGGAAGGCCGAGGCCTTGAAGACAGTAGCTGACATGTTCAGAGATAGGCAGGAGAGCTAAGAGGCAAGAGGGAGGAGTCAGCCGACTCCTGATTGGCTAGATCAATCAGGGGAGGAGCTAGCTTTTAGAGGGAAAAAAGGCTGTGTCTTTTGACAAGCTGGGGAGAAGAGCTTTAAACATCGAAGAGTGTAGAAGGATAGTTAGGAAGAGGGAGCTGTGAAGAATTTAGACAGGGAGAACTTTTGAAGTGAGCCTTGGGGATTAGAGCATAGGAAAGGCAAAGGTTCCTGAATCACTGTACATAGTAGGGTCAGTGTAGGAAAGCCTGTTTGCTCTGTGAGGCAGTCAGTGGACTGTTCTCAGGGACACACTGTGTCAGAGTTAGTGAACAGTGTGAAGCAAGGAACTCACAGGAAATAAAAATTAAAGTCGTGAGAGAAGACTGCTTGTCTAAACCAGCTAAGCCTCAGTAACAGCATTACGCTTTTGTACCACTCTTATTAAGAGTTGATTTGTTCACCAAGTTTTAAATAAACCTGTTTCTAGTTTCATCTTTAAACTGGTGTCTGCCTTGGTCTGTCACAATCCTTAGATCTCAGCAAGTCTAAAGACAACTCTAGTTCAGTCCAGTCAGCAAAAGAAGCAGTTGTTACAGAAGAACAAAGGGCTTGAACATATGTTACCTATTTCACATTCACACTTATGTTTTCCTCAGACATTAATTGAGGTGGTGGCGGCAAAACTACCAATTACATCAGTAATTAACATCGTTAACATAGTTGGTCACTCAACAATATTACTGAGGTGGGATTAGAGAGTCTTTCCCCCTTTGTCATAGTCATTTATCATCGTTAAAGTAGTGTCCAACTGAACGTTAATTCCTTCACACTGGTGGGCAGTGGGTGGATTGCTTGTCCCCCCTGCCCAGGCTGTCGTTGATTTTTGTTATAGCAAGTCCCAGGCTTTTTAAACCTGCTTTTAAAACATGAATTTTGCCGCTGTTTGGAAGTGCCCTTGATTATCTGCTATGTGGTCTGGGGATAATGGAATCTGCAATCCAACAGAACTTGTGGTTCTTAGGTTGGGGAAAGGTTAAAGGACATTTTAAAGTCATACATTGTATCTGCAAACTTTGTGTCAAAATTCAAACCCCACTATCATGACTAAACACAACAAACTACAGCCTTCCAGATATTACTGTATTCCAACCCATCAGTTCTAGTCACGATGTCTAATGATGCGGAATATAGGAATTGTAGTCCAGCATCTGGAAGGTCACATAAAATGACATGGTGGGCCAGACTCAACCTGTGGGCCTTGAATTTGACACATGAGCTCTAGTAAATCTTCCATATAAATTTGACTATAGCTGAATGCTAAGGCATTATATAACAAACATTATACTATGTCACATTACACAGTGTAGTTGTTAAAAGCAATTTGAAATACATATTATTCTATCTCATGTTCATTAAAGGAACCATCACCCTCTTGCTTGCAATTCTAAGCAAACTACAGGATGTGCACAATTCAATCAATACACCATGTGTGAAAGCCTTCAACAAAATTAATATTAAATGTTGTGGAAAATCACAGTTATCCTTTGCATAATATCCAGATATTTAGAAACAGATCTTGCTTCCATTTCTGAAATGGTGAATGGAATTTCTAAAATGTATAAACTGCAATATAGACTGGATTCAAGTGTCAATTGAAGTTTCAAAAAAAGAGGCATGTTCGTAAGATTGTTTAGTAGTTCAGGGTTTTGATTTTTTTTGCACTTGCTTATGAGTGATAGGACAAAGATACACTGTGTAAAATAAACAAATAAATTGAAATTGGCTGAATTTACCAAAGCAACAGTTTTCATGGCAGATAATTTGTTGTCTCCATGAAAAATTCTGATTTTCTCCATTCCTTAGCAATGCTAAATAGGTATCAAACAAAAGGAAAACTGGCTGTAAAAACAAGAAACAAACATGCATAGATCCCAGAGATGAAGGATTTTTGCAGCCTCAGCAAAACCCTGCTTCTGTCCTGAAATCAGGAAGCATGCCACATTTTAAGTAGTTTGGCCCTAGAACAGAAGTAGAAAGATAACTTCTCCAATTGCCCAATGTAAATTAGTCAAGTTAGCATTCAACAGCAGGAATATTACTTTCATCTGTGTTTATACACCAGCAAGAGTCTAATCCACCAGAGCTCTGGCAGAAAAGCAATTACTTAGAAAGGTGTTTAGTAGCACTCAACCATTAGCAAAGAAGAAAACAGATTATACCGGAAAATCTGTGAATACTAAAGCAGTAAGCTGACAATCGCTGCCAATATTCATGCACAGGCAACTGCCAATGTGAATTACTTTTACCTATAAATTTACCATCCCTGAACACTCTGCATATCTTCAGATCTCCTTCCTTGTCAAAACAAGATGATGGACTTCTAGCCAATGAAGCCAGTTCCTTAGCATTGTACCGCATGTGGCTGTTCATGAAGATGAGGAAGTGGATGATAATAGGGATGTTAATGAATTGGTCGTAAGTGTGCAACTTCTAGTCACCAAGCAAGATCAGCTGCAACATTAAAACAAAACAAAAAAAGACAGTGTAGTAGTGCACAGTCACAACTGGCTATCTTATTTCTGATTTTTTTCTGTGGACTATCAACCAACTAACAATATTGATGTCCAGAGGCGGTCCTAGATAATTTTCAACGGTAAGCAAACAGTATTTTGGTGCCCCCCCCCAAACTAATCACTGATATATATTTTCTATTCGTCGTGGGAGTTCTGTGTGCCATATTTGGTTCAGTTCCATCATTGGTAGAGTTCAGAATGCTCTTTGATTGCAGGTGAACTATACATCCCAGTAACTACAACTCACATATGTCAAGGTCTACTTTCCCCAAAGAGCGCCTCAAGAGCGCCCCTGGGCAAAATCAACTATACTGCAAATGCTTAGTTTGCATAATGGGTTGAACTGCCTCTGTTGATGTCAATTCATCTTATGAAGTTTTATGGATCCAGTTATTGATTCAAGTTGCATAAAATTCTGAAGAGAAATTTCACAACTTGCAGTTTAGTGGAGCAGGGCTCACAAGGATCAAAGCCCTTGAACCTTTTGATTGATACCATCTGCCAACCTTCTTCAACCATATTCCCACAGTTCTGGAAAGAGGTCTGACTTCCCAGCAATGAGATATTGTCATCAGTTGACCCTGTCATAATTATTTAGAGGTGGCTCTCTAAAAATATTACTGGTAGAAATAAAACCTGCTAGAAAATATTTTAAATCAACACAGCTCTGTGAAGGCATTCCTATAGACACTATCCTGATGATAGCCTGCACTTTAGAATTTGCCAGAGATTCACTGCCTATGGTACTAGAATTCAAATAAAGAGGCTCATTTCTTTCTCTTACGTAATGTATGGATGCATCACAGATGGCGCCAACATAAATGAGCCTGCACCTTCTGTGAAAGAAAGAGAAATGCCTTTTGCACAGTCATTTGCACCACCTGCGGTTCTGTAAGTTCCTGTTTATAGAAATAATCAACTTTGTAAACCTATGCTGTAATCAACTTTTTAAAATGCTATCAAACTGTTTTTAGGTACAGTCTAACAGTCACATACATGGGAATAAGCAGAACTGAACAGATTCAGACTTGCTTCTAGGGAAATGTCTATTAGACTATACTGATTAATTTAATACTTCTAGGGTTCTTCTTTCTCTTAAAATTATACTTCCTAAATATGAAAGAAAGAAGGAGAGATGGAAAACCTAAGCTGAACGAAGTCCAATATTTCACACATAACCAGTCTGCTAAACCAGCTACACTCTTGTATAATTCTAATAGTTCCTATAGAGGGAGAAAAGAATTACACTATTGGGTTGTTTTAGGTGTTTTGGGCTATATGGCCATGTTCTAGAAGCATTTTCTCCTGATGTTTCACCTGCACCTATGTCAAGCATCCTCAGAGGTTGTGATAACCTCACAACCACCAGTGATTCCAGCCATGAAAGCCTTCAACAATAAATTGCACAATTCTCAGTCCTTCAACATAATAACAATAATAAGAAGAAGAAGACAACGACGATGATGAAGAAGAAGACTTTATTTGTATTCCGCCCTTCTCCCTGAGGGGACTCAAAATAGTAGTGCTCTTAAGATGATTCAATTGTTACAAAGCAAGTGGAAAGAAGACACAATTATTTGGCTTGGACTAGGTCATCTGAATCAGAGTCTTCTCCTAAACCAATCTCCCAATTCACTACACCCTTTTAAGCACCTGTTTCCCTTCAGAGAGTGAGGTGGGGAAGTTACAGGAGATAAGCTGAAACTACTTAGAAGGGCCTGTCTTTGGAATGTCCTTCCAAATAGGCCAACCAATATTATTGCTCTAGACATCTAGGAAACACACTTTTTTGGGGAATACTGAGAAGATCTGCAGGGCTTTGCTGTTGCTACTGCTAATTTATATGATCTTTATACTGGATTATATTCAATGTTATAAGAATGTAAATGCTATTTTATGTAAGTGCCATTGGTCATTTGCTTAGAAGGCCATTCATTTGGGTGAAGTGGTTGCTAGTGGCTTCCATGTGAGTGAGATGGTTAATGTACAGGATTGCAACTCAGATGTAAATGAACTTTCCAAGGTATTAAACCAATCTTGGGTGATAGATTTAATCATGTCAGATCAATTGTCTACAGTTCAAATTAAAACCCAAAGCAAATCAACACTATACTGACATGGAAGCCACAGGGCTGGGAATTGGCAAACCTTTGAAGTAGAGTGAGCAACTTCCCAAGTTTGGAGAAGAAAACACTAGACTCCCAAGAAACCATTTAGTCTACAATACCACCAAATTTACCTCTTCTGCAATTGCTAGGAAAATTTGTCAATGAGTTATCTGAAGGCAACCAAACTTTAATTATTTTGAATGCACTTAAGGAGAAAGGTAGTTAAACCTTAAATGTAAAAAAACCCAATGAAAACTCTGAGAAGCACTTTGCTTTCTTGAAATTTGCTGCAGGATCATTTACTCCTGAGCAGACACAGAGTAATAACATCAGCATTGTCAGGAGGTGAGATGTTCAAACTAGTGAAAAATGTCACACAGAAACAGAGCCCTTATCCTCATCATATTCTAGATGCATCCTTCATAATTTAATATGCGCTAGAGATTTGCAGTCATGAATCTTATCCCTCTATTAATCTGCTATAGTCTACTAAACACAAAAATGTCAATAATGGGACCTTTTTCTAAAATAAGGCATTCCTGTGAATCAGAATATATTTTTTCTTTGTAATTTGACTGAATGACTGGACTGGAGAAGACGGGGGACAATTTTAAATCTCTGAAGAACCTAAGAAAAGGAGCACTCGGTCAGACTAACAGCCTATCAGATCTGGAATTATGTTCCCACAAAGGCTTCCCAGATGCCTGTGAGAGATTCTGAAGAAAAACATGAATGGGAAAGTGCCACTTCAATCATGTTCCCTAAGAAATAGTATGGAGGTCACTTAGGACCTCTTCGCATGGCTCTTTGCTGGTACGTCGACAATGAAAGGGAAGACATGCTTGTGACACCCTGTGCACCCTCCCTCCTTTCCTCATCACACAGAGGGAATAGAATAGAGGGAATAGAAGAGGATGATTTGGCACCCTTTCTCTCCCCACATCAGATGGCAGAAAGGGCAGAAAGCGTGTTGCCCTGCCAACCCTTTCTGCCATCACACAGCAAAAAAGGGAGGAAAGTGCAGTTAGCTCCGCTGGAGCTACCCAAACCACACTTTCCTCCCCATAATGGAGAAGAAACACCTTTTGGCATTACTCCTCCACTTTGGTAGGAATGTGGGTGGGGCCTGCCATGCATCATATGATGGTGCATGGCAGGCCCCATCCTTGCCGCAAATAAAAGCAGCAAAGTGGTGCAAAAATGCCCTGTATGAAGAGATCCTAAGACTATATATGAATAAGGTTTTCTTGGTAGTCATGAATGCACAAACTGCAGACACCAACTTCAAAGAAACAACCATCTTCTGCTAACCAAATATTTTTTTGAAGTGGCATGTCTTTATCCTTGGAAGTTTAAAGATATGGTTCTTCAGTTTTATAGCTGAGTTACCTGTGTGCCATTACATTAATGCTTGTGAATATCATTTGTTCAAAGGGTTGGCTTCTAACAAGGTTATGCTTTCCTTGACTAGTGGTTTTCAAAAGGTGGTCTTCACATATTCAAGGAAATTCACATTTGCCAAATGGATGTGACATCATTTTAAACTTTTTAAATAAGGTTATGGTGCACTTTTTTCCATTGGGTTATGGAATTTCCAGCAGGTTCAAATAAGATAACAAAAAACTAAGATTTTCTTCAATTTAAAGTTCTATGTTCTTGATTTTGAAAGTTTTACATTTGAGAATAACCTTTTATTTGAGATACCTTTCATTAACCCTGAGTTAAGTTGCCAGAAACCAGTCAACTACTAACACCTATGGAATCCAAATCTCAACATGCAAAAATAGGAATCAATCAAGGATACTTTGAATAATAATAATGACACAAGACTTCCAGTTACTACTTTATAAACCAGTTATAGAAGGAAGCTTCCAAGTAAAGCATAATAACCCTTACCTGAACTGTTAACAGAATGTCAAAAGCTATGTATCTGACATCACTTCTTGTATGGAAGGTGTCAGCACTGCTTTATTAATCCTCTATTTTTGTACATCTTTTTGTTAAAAGTGGCATTAATAGCCCTTTTACCTGTCTGATGAACATTACATGCTGTTCTCTCACTCTTGCATCCCTCCTGTGTATATTCCATCTGCTTGTCATTTTTAATTTAGTTGTCCAAATAAATAAAAAGAAAGCTAAAAATAGAACTGCAAGAGCATCTGAAGTAACAATGGTGTCGCAGGGTGTAGGGAAGAAGGGCAGTGCAGGGAGAAAGGAGGACAAGAAGGATGTTTATCAGCCATAGCTCTTGCTCTTTCCATATGCCTCACATTGATTTAATTTCTCTTGCATGAAATTTACAAAAAGGATTATTAGCATAGAGCAAAGTTTCTATTTTAGACTTGCTCTGCCTTTAGTCTGAATGAGTAAAATGACTCATGCTGTTCTTGAAGACAATTTTACTAATGTGTTCTTTTGTGGGTGAAGCAGCTAATGCTCTGACAAACAGTCAGAGCATTCGCTCCAAGGGAAAAGAATCCTGTGAGGTAACAGCAATCTTATGCAAAATTATGGATTTTCATGGTGCTCTGGTTGCAATTTTTCTTCTTAAATAAGAGCCACAGTATTAATCTAGAAACAGTGTAGCTTTGAACAGTGATGAGGCAGCAGTTTCAGGAAATTACTGGGAAAATGCCCATAATGAAGGGTATTTTTTTTTAAAAAAAAAAAAATAGATCACTGTGATAAAGTCTTTTCCCAAAACCAATTTTCTACAGCTAAGGTCTCCAATGGAAATTCCCAATATCTAACGCTTCAATATTATCCGGTCTCACTCTAGAGTGCTTCCAAATGACTGAATAAAATCCC